TTGGCCCTTGTGTTTTTTGTTCGTGTCCTTATGCGCATAATCGTTAAATTTTTAACATTTTCATAAAAAATAAAAAGAGAAAACAAGAAATAAATAAATAAAAAATAAAATAAAAAGCCACCAACAGACGTAAGACGTGCAGTCAAACAAATGTATTTAATAATTGTATGCATTAAATATTCTTTTATATCTATGTACATATATACGTATGTATATATAACTACCTTAGTTTATGAATGAAAGTAAATATGAAAACGATCAAAAGTTCGCATCTATGTATCAATCAATCAATCAATCAATCAATCAATCAATCAATGAATCAATCATGTGTCCAACGCCTTTCTAGGTAAATAAAATAATGCTTTTTTTTATTATTAAAACTTAAAAAAGAAAACGAAAAAATCCTTTTGTATATAATTTCAATTTTATATACGAGCTTTGTTTTATTGAAATTTATTATAAATTATATAAAAATGAATTTCTTTTTCTTTTCTCCACGTTTATAAATATTTGTTTTTCTACTAGACTGCCAGTTAGCATGTCATATATCAATAGAACACCCTATCATCGGACAAAATACAGAAGGCGGCTTGTGGATAATCCTCATAATTGATTTCATAAAAACACAAACCATACGTTCTCGTTATTGCTGCTATAGTTATTATTATTTTTATTCAAATTATCACTATTATCATCATCATCATCATCATCATCATCATTATTATTATCATTATTATTATAATTTGTTCCCAATTAGTATCGTGTTTGTTAGTTTTATTATATGGCAAAGTTTGAAAATTTTCTCATTTTTTCTTTTCACTTGGAATCCATAGAAATGGGCTCGCAATATATATGTAAAATATACACATTATATATATATTTTTATATATATATATGTACGTTTATTTACATACAGATATACATATATCTATATAAAATGATAATAAGATCATTTATTATATATGTCTGCAGAAAATAAATATTAATTTAAAAAAAAAAAAGCAAAAGAAAATAAATGATTTTACGATTTCAGACATAAACGACTGCTCTCCATATTTATGATCATTATTATGTGGTGCGATGGTTTTTGTGGACAGTTATACTTGGCCTTTTTGGTTGAGTAAATTTAAACCAAACAGTTTTATATATAATATGCTCGATTTTCAAGAAGCTTTAACAACAATAATAATAATAATAACAAGGATAATAATAATAACTTGTAACAATCCCGATGATTCCTCAATGATTTTGCAAATTAAGAAAAAAGTAAAAAAAATGTAAATAGAAACGTTGATGTAATCGATGATGAACCAGTATGGGTGCATGTTAAAATTGCCAAAGGTTTTAATCCACTTGAGATCTTAAAAAACTTAAGACTAATTTTTTTATATTTCGTTTTTCGTCCTTCGCTCTTTTCGTTCCTTTTTACCGGTTATATTGCGTGTTGCTCCTTCTCGGTGAAATCACTTCTAAAGAACAAGCAAATATTTATGTTGAAAAGTACATTAAAAATTAATTGGTTAATAGTATCCACTTACGGGGAATAACTGGCAATGCGGTGCGTAACCTGAAATGTGTTGTATTGCATTCTTTCTTTTTATATATCTACTTTAAGGGTTGTGTAGCGTATTGCGCGCGGTGACGGAATCGCTTATTGTAGATGAATCTTTTTTATACCCGACATTGCAGGATATTCATTTTCCCAAATCGCTTGCGATGCCCAGAAGGAGTTTTTAGTATATATATATATATAATATATATTGATCAGAATCAAATTCTAAATCGATTTAAGTATGTCCATGTTTAAGTCTGCGTGCCTGTCCCTCTGTATATTGTCAGTTTAAAACATTTTCCTGGCCGTAAAAATTACACTGTCGACTTCAAATTTGACAAGAACATTGAAAGCTTTTGCGCGTAGGATGTTATTGAAAATGAGCCAAGTCGGTCGGTGGACACGCATTCAGTACTACATAACCTGAGGACATCTTTGTTTTTCGAGAAGATTAAAAAACTAGTTTCTTGCTTGTTACTCATTCACTAAAACTAATAAATCTAAATAAATTTGAATGTATATTTTACGGGCAGTGCTATAGTACCTCCAGAAAAATGTAAAAAATTGACCCCACCTACCCTACATTATAGCGTCTCAACATTAAATTTTTTTTTCAAAACCCTTATAACACCGCACAGAAACAAGTTTCAAAAATCCTGTCAAGTATATAAAATCTTGGACAGTTTCAAATTCGGAATGGATGTTCGTCTGTACATCTGTCCGCCTGGGCAACTGTGTAGTAATTGTGTCAGTGAGTGAGTTCTGGAGATGTCCATTTCCGAAAAAAACACCATAATCGAGCAGCTTGATGTGTCATCACACAAGAGCTCTCTTGCACAGCCACAATTGGTTTATTTATTTATTTAAATTTATAGTAATATGAGAAGTCTTTCCTTAGACCAATAAACATATCTGTTTTATCCGCGTGAGCAGCCGACGTATGGTTTTTATAAGGTACAACACTTATGGTCCAAAGGTACAGTACTCTTGCAGGGATGTATGCAAGACACAGAAGAACTTATGATAAACCCATATTTTATTGTAATGATCGAGTCCGGATTACTTTCTGAAATGGTTTAAGCGGGCCATCTTTTTTTGATTAGGATTTTTAATATGCTTGGATACTATTTGGTACCAACAAGTTTTGGCTCAAGGTTGAACTCCGGTGAAAATGATTCGGATTGGAACATTTTCTCAACCACTTTCCATATTTTGAAAAGCCATCATATGAATAACTGTAGGGCGAAGTAGGGTGTTTAATGATAAACCTTGGCCCGCCGTAGTGTATTTTTATGTAGCTTCATCTAAATATCATCTACAATATAATTTTCTTATTTTTATCCCGTTCCAGCAGTTATTGATGTGAAAAAGGACTTTTTGGTGTTTAGCTATTGTTTTCACTTTTTCTTGTATACTGTGCCCGACTTTTAAATTGATATCTGGGTAAAAGAAAATTTTCTCATTCCCATAAACAACACACCAGAGATTGACTTTACATAAATTTTAGGCTGTCACTGCTTTATTTTAAAGCCACACTGTTACCTAGCACCAAATGAGATCCGAGTATTGCTCTGACTTGCACGATCCACAAACGCTATACAGAAATTCGGGTGCATTAAAAATTCTTCTAAAAAACTTCTAAACAAGTGACCTGTTTGCGTTGTTCCATGTCTGCATTTGTTGCTTTGTATACTGCATGCTCCACTAAATTTCATAAATTCATTCCATTTATATTTCTTCTCAGCTCGTGCATATTTTGGGCCTGAATATTGAATTAATTTCCGTGTGCAGTGACGTTCAAAGTACTGCGCAGATATCTAACCTTAAATTGTATGCTCTACATAATACGTTTATAAGCACAGTATATCACCATTTTATATAGAATGCTTTCACTTTAGAACATTTGTCGTAAAATACATTGACATTGGGAAGTTTAAATAAAAATGCTCTTACAATTTCATTACATCATTCATTATGTTCACGAAGAAGCTCTTAGCTGTTAGCTATAGTGGCGACATTTTTAGCTGACCCGATTGAACAGACTATCGGTAGGCGAGACCATTGCCGTCATCGAAATTTATGTAACAAAAATTGAAAGTTTTGACGGATTCAAACATTAGTCTTAAGGTGTAGTCTCTTTCACCTAGACGTGGCCTTTTAAGCTTCGCTGCATTTTCCAGCTCCCATCATGGTAACATTTGACAAGAAAAAACTAGGTCATTTTCAGATGTGGATCGATCTACTCCGTAATGAAATATTGAAAATTCCCCATAAAAATGGTGAATATGTCGCGAAGACACTTCGCTAAGTTGGTAATGCTTTAAGTCAAGTGTCCTTTCGCGTATCTTAAAGTAATTTAATCAAAAAAGGTGGACTTTTCAGTTATGCCAGAAACGCAGATATTCTAAATCGTGTTCGGCCGACTACATAAAGTGACAATGTCGCATCTGTAGCTGGGGATGCAGCACACTGCCGGCCTCTGGAACAATCTACCAGCTGTGGTCTTTCCCACCGTACGTGACGACGCGCACAATCACTACCTTCTCCTTCCATCCCTCTTCCTGCTTATAACTCATCCTAAAATAAAAAAAGACCAAAGAAAAATTTCGATACGATGGCAAGGTAGCGTGCACAGCATAGAGATCGGTATGTCTATTCTCATGAGTTACAGCTGACATAAGAAGTGAAGCTGGCTAGTTACATACTACTTTGACTTAGAAGTTGCCGTTAAGTAAACAAAGGAAAAAGGAGATATATATGTAAAGGGAGAAAAAAATTTTAACAATTCCCGGTACTTTCCTGATAAGGTTATACATTGCCCATTTATCAAAACCGTTTAAATATCCATTATAATACAGCTTTGCTTTCAAGAGAAGTCCACACAGACACACATATATGTCCGTATAAATACTTAAGTACGGAGTTAAACAGATTTTGTTCCTTAAGTCGAAGAACATGATTGCAGTGAGCGTAATAAGATTTCGTTGTAGTTTCTTTAGCATGCAGCTTCTTTAACCTCCATATGCGTGCATGAGCTTACATTTGGCTTCAAGTTCTACGACCGATTCTTGTGTTAGTCTACAGAAATTTGTATGCTAAGCTTATGATTATATTATAAATACAACTCAAATAGTAGTAATAATTTGTTGAACATATAAATGAATGCATACACGTTTACATACATCTTCTTAACTCTCACACTAACTCAAAGCTAAACCTTATTTAAAATTGTGATTAAAAAGAAATAGAAAATGAAAATATTGCAGATAATTGCTTAGGATATAACAGCACTGCAGTGACACAATTATAGGGATTAATATATATACATATATGTACATACGTATATACGTTGCTTTATAAAATAAATATTAAAGAAAATAAAATAAAAAGAAAGAAAAGATGGGAAATTTCACTTTAGCAAAATTCGAAATATGGTAACTTTCCACAGCTACACAAGCCGCTTTCTGAATAAAAGTAAAAGCAGCGCCATCGTGTCACAACCATTGTTAGCGACCCCAAATGCCTCATTCGATGAGGATGCCAACGGCACTGGCGATGATTCGGATTCACGTTACGGCACCGGACGTTCACGTTATTTAGCGATGAAGGAACGACGCAATCGTTTAGCACGTAGCCGTTCATCGCATCAATTTGGCAACGACGATGACGATTTAGATGAACCGGTATCACCGACAACGGCCTCACCCTCCGCTTATTTAGCTTCAAGGTGCGAATCAAGTTTACAAATCTTTCCTTTTTTTTTTTAATATATATATTTTGATTTTAATTTTCTTTTTATTTATATTTAATAAGTTTCTTCCCGTTTTTTACATTTTTTTTTTTTTTTAAATATATATTTTTTTTAATTGATTAATTCCTGTCTACTTATTAAAGTATTAAGGAAAAATTTATAAGATAAAGAGGGAACGCAATAACAAAATTTCAAATTAATTAAAATATAATCAGGAATGAGCAGATGAAAGTTTTAATTTGGAAAATGCAATAATTCGGTATTTTTAACCGCAATACCTGCATACCCTATATTTGGGTGTTGTGTTGTAAATTTAAATCTAAAATGGAAAAGAATGTAGTGTATAATCTTATATAAAAGAACAGCAGCATTATAGTAGTAAGCAATATTTTATCATCATTTCAATTGAATCGGTAGCAAATATCATAAAAGAAATCATATAAGGAAAAATTTGCAACGTTTGCGACACTTAATACCATTTATTTACTTATCGTAACGCCTTCGTAAGGTGTATTAAAAACTCCATCATTTATCATTTCATGGATCAACAAATAAAAAAAAAAATTCAAAAAAAAGTTGCAATAACGGACTAATCAAGAGTTCTATATACTTTTTATTCATTTAACATAATTGTTTATTATATTTTTGAAAGTTTAATTTCACTCTGTTCTTTAAATTGAGTCGCATTTTTTTAACTCGTTTCCTTTCTTTCATAATGTTTTCAATCTCATGTTTAGTGTAACTGTGCGTTTTTTTCAGTTTTATTATCTTCTTATGAAAGCGTTTTATTTTGTATAAATTATGATATGCGAGTAATTTAAGTTAGTGTTCAGCTCGTTGCATATACATCCGTCTAGCAGATAAGCAAATCTTCGTCCTGTCACCTAATATATGGATTTCACAATTATCATTTTCAAGGTCGCCCAGAACGATTAAGTTTGATTGTTCATTTTGATCAAAATTGAGTTCATTGACAGCAATCTCGTATACAACTTTTTTCGTAACATAGTGCGTTGGTTCATCTCAAATCTAAATCATTATTTTTCCTCTTTCAGTTTTTTCAATGCTTTCCTATTGATGATCGCATTATGTGAACCCAGTCTATAATAATTTCCAGACTATCCTCGAGCACTACATAGGAAATTTCATTGAAAATATGAGTGAAAGAGCACCGACTACCAAGTCAGTGTTCGCCCAGAGTGGTTAATCAGTAAGGGCACGATGCTTATCTATTAGCCGCTTACCCGCTAGGCTGTTTACCTATCTCTTTCTTTCGCTTCATTTCTTTCTGCACATCAGCGAGTTACAGGAATAGAGTATATTCCCTGTGGGTTGGATTTAAAAAAAAAATCTCCATAGACAATATGAAAAACATGCTCAAACACTCGTCATGTAAGTCACTGACGTAAACATATAAACATTTTCCACAGGGCTTTAAAAATTGTTACCCTCACTTACTGTTACCCTTACTAGTTTCCAGCATTAGTTTATTCACTGAACGATTAACTTTCACAAAACGAGTTATCGATGATTGCTGGTATTTTTTTTGTGCCAAATTGATTGGAGTAAGAAAAACATAAAATTTTTTTTAATAAATTTTAAGACAAGTTCAAGGTCGGATTGCAATCGACCTTCACCAGCTAAGTGATTTGCAAAATAAAATGCTTCAAATTATATTATTTTCTTATGTTCGCTTAACAAAACATCTTAATAGGACTGATGTACAAACAAACGTTAAGAAATTAATTTTCCCCTTTCGCAGATATAGCGGTTACGGTACTTCGGATTTGGCTCGCAGTCGTTCATCGCACGCTTTGAAGTCACGAGAAAATTCTCCTATAACTGATCGCAGTACGACGTCATCTCGTAGCGCTATCGGTTCTTCATCGACCACTGCCGATAATAAAGATGGTGAAGCTTTAAGCTCCTGGGCTCGTTATCTAAAGAACAAATACGGCAACAAAAGTATTAAGGATACTCCAAGTGTTGGCGCGCGTGATGCACTGAGCAACAGTAGCACTGCTACGACACTGCCATCAACATCTCATAGCGTTGGAGGTAGTGGTAGTAGCCGTAGCCACGTTGCCAGTGATGTATCACGACGCCTTAGCCTAGGTTTGCCGTTGAGACAAGTGAACGAACTTGTTTCTTCTGATGATGACGGTTCAAAAAACGGGCTAGGCTCCCCTACCTCCCCTACGGTAGCAGCAGTAGCAGCTCACGGTATAACCGGAGTAGCAGGTACTACCCTTAAACAGTTGTACTTGCGCAAGCGTCAACAGCTGTTCCAACTGGGGGGCCGGGGGAGCGAGCCCGGTTCTTTTACTTGGCCACGCGGTTTAGCTGTAGGTCCGGATAATAGCATTGTCGTTGCTGACTCGTCAAATCATCGTGTTCAAGTATTTAATTCGAACGGCATTTTTGTCAAACAATTTGGCGAATACGGTAACGGCGAAGGCGAATTTGATTGCTTAGCCGGTGTAGCAGTTAATCGTATCGGTCAATATATTATTGCAGATCGGTAAGTGTACTCACATCAAGTCATCATATTGATTTTTTAAGCCGTATGTGTATTACATCCTATTCAGCTTATATTATCAATAAATCAAATAAGAAATTCAGTCTCTAGTTCCCTCTAAGTGCTCCTTATTTAAGAAGGTTTGTTAAATTCTTAATTGCTACCGACAGTTTCTTCTTGTCTGAAGCCAGCGGCGAAAAAGGGTAGCCCAAACAACACATATGGCTCCTTGGCTCCTTGAATATGTCCATGCCTTAATGACTTTTAATATAACGCATAGTGTCATAAAGTAGCGTATGATATTTACTTTTAAGAACAACATGCGCTATATTGCCGTTCAGTTTAAACTTTTTCATATAAACATCTCAAAGCTTCTCCTTTCAGCTTTGACATTCGTAATCTTGAAATGCAATTCATTTCAAAAAGGAAGAATGATGAAATTCGAATCTCGAACGCCTTTGGGCTGATTTGAACATATTCGAGAAATACAAATGTAAACTTATATCACAACACAACACTTTAAAAACCTGGAGAAGGACGGTTTAATCAATTTTAATATCTGAAATAGCATTCTTGACTCATATAGTTGGAAGAACTATCGTTTACCTTTCCTTCCCTTCGAACGATTTTCGGCGAAACTGATCCTTATCGAAACTTAGTTTCCACTGCAAGTGCTGAGATGCTATCTAGCTTACCGTTCAGGGCTAGTTTTGACCCTTAGAATTTGTGACATCGCTAATGTTACAAAAATAAAGATAGGAAGCTAAAATTTGACACCAAAATCCATTAAGAATTCCTAGGAAAAAAATGCTGTTTGCGGGAAGATAAATCCGAAAATCTGCTGCGCAAATGTTTGTCGAAACAAACGGCGTACTCGGACCAGGAATGGTTTCCATCATTTTACTATTACTAATACGTCGATATGATAATATTTTAATTCTAGTTTTGCTGTAACTGTGCGAAGAAAATGGTAAGGAGATGTGTTAGATTAAATGGGAAATAATTAGGAATTAAAATTTTGCCATCAATTGTCGCCGCATTTATACACCGATTAGCATCATCAATGATCTTGACAAACTCTGGATTATAGGTCTGGAAAATATCGTTACGTTGTGAGGCATTAAATAATTCGCAGCGCAGGTAGGCTTCGTGTTGCGCAGAAGAAAGGGTTGGCACTGTACCCAAACATTCATGTATGGTATTCTAGACTGGGAATAGACCCTTTCACTTGCATCTGGGAGCGCCGGCAAACGTTTCCGCCTAAGCCTTTGGACTTCCTCTGATTAAGCCATTAAGGCAGATGCGGACTCTAAATATCTAGAAACTGATCATTAGACAGAGTCTTTTTTATTTAAGAAAAGGCCGATCGGGGACATTTCCATCTCGAATTTTTGTTTATTGGTGGTGGATGGTTACTCTAAATATATCTAATACTCACATACAGGATTTCAATAAATTGTATTAATATTCGCCTCTTTGCTAGGTAAACTCAGGGCTTCAGTTATTGTAAACGAACTACGTTGGTTTATTTTATGGAAAGGCACGAAGAACGCACGAAACAAGTTTCAAATTTCTCTCTGATTTGTTACGACAATGAATAGACGTTTGGACTGCCCGTCGTTTAAAATAATTGCGTTCCTTTTGTTTTGCTATAAATAGAAAGATTATATTAAAATGGTTTTATTCTCCAGGGTTGAGTCAATCGAGAAAATGCTCTTTAAAATTTTAATGCTATTGTTTACTTAAACAACCTATCTCCCATGAACGTATGCATTTATTTTTTGTGGTAAATAACCTTTCACTTTTATAAGCTGTAACTTGTTGGCTTACTCTTTAATTTGTTCTAAAGGACATAAAAACCAATAGCAGAGAGACATTTAAAAAAAAGCATATTTTTAAGGCAATAAGGCTTGCAAGCGCAATATTTATTTATTTGTCCTTTTACGAAAATTTTTGTTTATTTTTGTTTTTTATTTTCTTTTAATAAACTTTAAATATTTTGCAGTTATAATCATCGCATACAAGTTCTCGACCCGCAAGGACGTTTTCTACGTGCATTTGGTAGCCAAGGCACCACAGATGGTAAATTCAATTATCCGTGGGGTGTAACTACTGACGCCTTAGGTTTCATTTATGTCTGCGACAAAGAAAACCACAGAGTCCAGGTAAGTATGTCCAGATCGTACAGCCAGTCAGGCAATTCCTTGTTGCATTCTATATTACTTTAATATAGAATTAAGTTGTAATTATTTCATTCGAAATATCACTTAAAAGTGTAAACGAAAATTCCAAGAAATAAGAGAAAGCATTTGCATAACCAATCGCAATGCACTCATATAAGATGTTTTAGTTTAATTTAAAACGTAGGCATTATTATCAAACTACATTTTGTCGGCAGAATCGTTTGTTAATTCATTTGTTTCATTTTCAAATTAAGTATTAGGACAAAAGATTAAAACGCTTTGATAATTTCATTTTAATTCTTTTCCATTTACTTTTCATCCCACAATTTCATGGTTTGCATTTTCTCTCTGTAGTGTTTTTTCGTGTGATTGTAAAGACATAGGAACGTGCATGAATGTAGGTAGGATGTAGGTGTGGGGCTGCACACGAAAATATTGTATTTTCTCAAACTGATTTAATTGAAATGATTTTGTGTTGTTTTTAGGTTTTTCAATCTGATGGTACATTTGTTGGCAAATTTGGTAGTTGTGGTCGTGGCGAAGGACAATTGGAGCATCCGCATTATATTGCCGTATCGAATACGAATCGTGTCATAGTCTCAGATTCGAATAACCACAGAATTCAGGTAATTTCACATTTCGCTGCGTACACTTTCAATTCGAACTTCCGCTTTCATAACCGCAGTATGAACGTTTGCTTCTTTAAAATAAGAAAACGAAGAGAAAAAGAGTAAAAATATTGTTTTAAAATTAAAATTTAACTTTAAATTTTTAAGCAGAGGCTTTTAAAAGGTTTTCTTTTATGCAAAATACTCATCTGCTTCTTGTTCCCTGGCACTTGAGATGATTATAACTCGACATGAAATATGTTTTCTTACTAACATCTCGATTATAGTAAAAAGGGATAATCGGCTTTGAGCAATCCTTAGGTCTAGCATTTTCGATGACAAAGTCTTTCAAGGCAGGCAAAAAATAAAGATTCTTTCTACTACGTCCTTCGCTGAAATGTTAGGCCTGAGCAAGTTATTAAAGATATTAAATCAGTTCGAGATATTATTCTCGGTTGCCTTTTCACACTTTGCGTACTGGACAACAAGTCAAAGTTGAAGTATACTTTTATTGGCCATTCACTGCTGATGACAAAAACAACTTCCTATTACTTTGCTCTATAATGAACTGTTTTGTAAGAGGAAACTGGCGAATTTTCAGCCTAGTCGTTAATATTTATTTGCCTATTCTCAAGTGTCGCTGCTTGAAACCAACAATCTTTTAGTTTAATTAGTTCCCGACTTTCCACAATTCGTTTCAGCCTTACTTGGTCCCCTTTTGCATAACCAGTTCTTAACTTTTATGCTATACGCTTTTAAAAGTTTTTGTTATGTCACAAGACTTATCAAGTTTATGCGGATGTACCTAGCACCCATAAAGACTTAACAAACATTCAACTCTTATTCAAGTTAATCTATCGGCTCAGCTGATATATGTCCACGTATTTTTGTGCTCAATCTATAGCTCGCAACTTTATATATGTATAGACGAAAATTGACACACAGACGCGCCTTGGCCGAAGGATAAACGTTATAAAAAATAGACTCAATCCGACCATTCCTCAATAGAGTGCTGCAAGAGAAAGATTTAAATTTTCTTAGAGTTTATACTGAATGAATAATTTTTTTAATCCGTTCACGCTTAATGGTTTTTATGAAAGTAGGTCTCTATATGGCAAAAAGATAATATATAACGTATTACAGTGGAAATTGATCTGTGATAATGATTTAATGGTTTCATATATAAATTGATTGTATCAACGTAAGTTCACATTTTGGACCCCAACTGCTACAAAGGCTCTCACAGAAACTTATTCTTTATGTGGGAAAAAAGTCCACATTTTAATTCTTTATAACGATATGAAGTGAAGACTAACAAGACATTTGATAAGGAAACTAATTCTGCAATATTTGGGCCATGTAACGTCACGGTTTGGGGAAACTATTTAACTTTAGGTAGTTTGTAACGAACATGGATGAAGAATTGCATTGGTCGAAATGCTGTGGGGTAGGATAATGGTCGCCCTTGCTACACAGTTGGTAAACAGAACTTCTTTGATAGGTTAGGAATATCCATCGATAGAAGGATGCTTTTCTTAGAAGCATACTTATGACTTTAGGTATTCTTTTCCAACTTTTTAACTTTAGCGTTGAAATTCTGGCAGTTGTAATACGCGACTATCTTTGCCTTATGGTACTTACCACTTCATCACTTTCTATTTAAACTTGCATGGAAAAATTTTTCAATACACACAGACGAGTCGACTTGTGTTCAGTGTAGTGCGTGTTTTCTTTTCGTCTGC